TAAATTGCTACCAGCATTACTACCCTAATTGTGCCATTACCCTATCTCACATGCCCTCTGCATTGCTTTCAACTTTTTGTCTATTTTATTGTTCTATCTATTACTACTATTCAGCTTTTCCCAATGTTGTTTAAACAGAGAAGCAAGTTTTGCTGTATCATTCTCCAAAAAGGCATTTTCAGACCAGGTGTGGGCTTCTTTTCACATTGCTGAAGGATTTGCTGTTATGCTTCTGATGATTGCTCCAAAGCAGTTATTTTTGCTTTTGCAAATGTTTCTGTGCAAAATAAACACTCGTCGTAAATCTAAAATTACACAGACTTGTTTGCTTTACTTCACCAGTGGGAATGGAATTACAGGTAGGACATGATCAGATGTTTCTTCTTCTACTGGTATCTGTCCACATGATATGAGATTTTGCTAGCTAACATGTTTTTTTACTTCTAAATGCATCTCAGAAAGTTAGTAGAGAGCTCGTATACTCTCAATTCTTACTATTTTCTTTGAGAGCTGGGAATGCTCCTTATGTTTTGTAAGAGCAAGCCTGCTCTGCTATTGGAGATGGTCTGAGCAAGCCACGCTCATGATACCTCTGCATATAACACACAGACCGTGGACAGTATTCTAAAACATAGGCCGAAAAATGGGTAGTGGAGGAATTTAGCTGCAAACTAGATTTAGGGCATCATGTTGGATTTTACTATCCTCATCTCATGCTTCCTTAAATAAATTATATATTTCCCTATGCAGATGGGTGGGGTATATAGAATAAATACCCTTTCTTTCTAAGAGTGGGTCAATTTGTGATGGGTGTGAAGCAAGATAGCCCAGTGGTGTGAAGAAACTTACATTCTTGTTATTCCTGTTACATAAAATAAAAGGTTTCCATTTTGGAGCTATTTGTTCGGTATCTTCCACAAGTGTCTGTGAAAACTCCCCGTTAAGAATCTGCAGTCTGACCCTGAATACATCTTTTCTGAATCCCAAAATGAAGAAGATGAGATAGATTTACTTTAATTAGAAAATTTCCAAATTGTTAAGGAGCTCTGCGTTATCCACTTCCATTCATGTCCAACAAGTTCATTGTGTAGGATAGCATTCTGTTTTGTGGCCTCACATGGTTAGTTTTGCTGTTAACCAATAATGTATGCAAACATGTTTCAGAATAATGTGCCAGACTTTGTCTATAGTTAATTTTTGAATGTCAGTCAGCAACGTATTTTGCGTCTAGATATCTCTGGGAGCAGATTGACCCTACCTACTTGTTTTTATAAATTTTCTTTGGAGCCATTTAATGATTATTTAGATTCTTATTAACTAGTCCTTTACTTTTAGTGTTCTTTTCATCAAAGAAAGTATCTCATCAAGTGCATATTGAAGATTGTCATGTCCAACAATACAAAATTGTACATGAGCTTCTGAAAAATCTGACTGCTTATACTGTGAACATGCAATGATTTTACTATCCTGCAGGGTTAAGCAAGTCAGAGTGAAAATATAATCTGACTATTAAAAAAGTAATTAGTACTGAAAAAAATCAAGAGAAGTCAGAGTAGTCTGTGAGTGTTATGTCTGTAAGTGATTCAGTAGCACAGGTGCATTGCTCAGTGAGTTATTTCATCAGAAATTAAATATTTATTAGAATTTAAAACTGCTGTTTCTTTAGTGTCAATGGACATACATGTACCTTGCGCCATTTAAGTGCAATCGTCTCTTATATTTAGTACTTAAAAGAAATTTAGTGCTAATGGGAGATGACAGATCAAAGGCATCTGAGTGAAGTTCTAGTATTACCCATGGAAGATGAGTAAGATAAGAAGAACTTCACTCGGTCAGATCAAGGATCTATCTAGTCCAGCAGCAGGTTTTTACAGAAAAGTATAGAGGAAAGGGTTATTTTATATTCTCACAGCTTTTGACAATCAGCCGTTTAAGGACTTTCAAGTCAACAGCTATATCCAAACCATTCCATCTAATATCCATTAACAGACCTATCCTCCAGGAATTTGTCTAAAGCTTTTTGAAGCTGTTTATAATTCGGGCTGTGCAACAGTTGTGGCATTGAGTTCCACAGTGCAGTAAGTGTTGTGTGAAGAAATGTTTCCTTTGGTATGTTCTATGCTTGCTGTTTGATTATATAGCTGTATGGTCCTGTATGTGCTGTCTGTGATCATTCCTTCGCACTGCTTCCATGTTAATCAGACAGTCACTTGAGGAAGGGCATATATGTCGTTTTAGCTGCTGAACGCCTACTGGCTTCCATATAAGCTTGACTTTAAGCGTGAGTGTAGTCTCACTGACCAATGAGATCTCTCATCCTGAATGTACATCTGTCACTGCTAGATTGTGGCATTAGTCTTCATTGTGGTTATTAAGGATGAAGGTTGAAAATCTGGAGAGACTGTGAAAACAATATCTGTGATTGGCATGTTGATCAATTTGCATAACTATATTGCACTAAAGACACTAAACTCCTTATCTGTACCGTAAAAGTTCTGTGATGATTGCTCCTACATCACTTCATCCCCACAGCCTACTTTACCGTTTTGTCTTGACAGGCATTCCCTCAAGTGTTTTTTCTTGCAGATATGCAAGTTTTGCTGATGAGGTGTCATTTCCCCTGAGATTGCTTTCCCTCACAGAGGAACTTATTTATGACGTAATAGTTTTGATGAGTGCTAATGGAATATTCTACTTTTATAGGATGCTTTTTTTCCACAAAACATTTCAGGATAAACTATCCATAGCCTATGGCTGCCTACCTTACTCCCTATACCACGAAGACTAGGAGATGAGTCAGTATTTCTCAACAGAACTTTATGTGAAGCTGAGGATGAGTGAGAGATTGGATAATGGATCTGACTCTATTCAGCTTCTTTTTTGTGTTCTGGTGGTTTACAGTTCTTATAATAGCGTCTTACAGGATCCCTTCTGTTTAATAGGATTCCCTCTACTGCTTGAAAGCTGATGGAGAAATCAAACAATGGGGTTGCATATAGACTGTAGGGAAAAAGAGGCTGATGTGTGTGTATATTTGAGAGTGTGCTGGCATATGTGTGGACGTTACTATATTCCAGCTATTCTGGGCAACCACAAAGATTCAAGCAGCTGCACAAAACCCTAATTCTGGTCACACTGGGTTTTTCCCCGGTCTTCTACAGGATTATCCCACAATTCAGAGGACATGTAAAATCATCTTTGCTCTTCCTTAATCTAACTTCTGTTTATTCTATGGTATAACATTCAGTGTGGCCCAGTGTTTCTGCCTCTAGAGAGTAAGGTTGATTCCAGGAAAATGCTATTTTACAGGTAAAAGCATTCAACATGTGCCAAGAGTATTGATATTAAGAGGAGTTGCTATATCAGTATTGAGCAAGAGGAAGGATATCCACTGCAAGAGAAATTTGCATTGGTTTTACAGGCTCATTGCAGGCTTCGGCATGAATGCGTTCTCCTGTACTTTTCCGAGGGAAGACCTCAGAGAATTCTCATTCCATTCTAGAGTGCTGAAAGTGACCTATTAGTGGGTCTATCAAAATAAATGCCATACCAGGTATTCATACCAAATATTCCACTGACAAAAAAAATGTTCATTATAATTATTTAAAACTTTCAATAGTATTTTTTTCCCATTTCTGGTATGATGTGCCCCTGTTTCTAATTCAAGAATGTTTCATTTCTAGCATAGTGTGGATGATATCTGGTACGTTTTCAGATGCATATGGCCAATGGGTTTTGGTACATAATGTTTACAATTTCAAATTCATCAAATTCATCTGTTCATTTGTTTTCTTAAAAAAAAATCATTCCGTAAATTGCTTCCTAATCCAGGCATATTGCGTGATGGTTAAAATTATTGTAAACTATGCATTTTGGAATAATAGCAAAAAGAAACCATATAGTTCAATTATGGCAGCATGGAACAAGTAATGAATTTAAAAAATTTGAATTTAAAATGAGTTAATCACTCAGTAACTATACTTTGGCGCAGTAGGACATTTGGAACATTACTTATTTATTGTTATAATCATTTATTAATAAAAAATATTATTTATTTATGAGGTATCCATGCATGTGCTAGGCAACTCATAAAATAAGGCTGATATTTACCCAGAAGAGCTTACATGATTAGATGGGAGAAAATCTCTTGCACATAAATGGCAATATTCCAAATGACACCTGTAAGTTGAGGATTTTGATGCTGGAAGACAGTGGGAAAAAATGTATTTTTTTTTTCCAAAACAACCTTGTGGAATTTTATTGATTTGCTTTTGGGTCTCTGCTTCATCGCTGTGTTTTTCTACTTGTTCTTATTTGATCTCTTTTGACATTTTTTCTGATAAAATACTTGCTTGTCATCTTTACTGTATGTATTATCAGGGGCATATGAAAGAAGAACAGTCATTTTTGTATTTGCGGTTAGAAGTGCTTAAAACATTGCTACATATTCTGATGAAAAGTGAATTTGCATTATATTAGATCCAGTACTTATAAATCTGATGACTTTTTGGGCAAAAATTTAAGGGAAAGTGTATTGATTTTTTTGTTCTGTTCAAAACAAAAAAAAGTTTAAAAGTTGTCAGGTTTTTCCTTCTTTGTGTATTACTATTTGGAAAAGAGACAGGAAAAGTGGAAGTAAATGTGTATGCTGTTAATTCTCTTGCATTCAAAACAAATACGTTCGATTTTGTTTAGTAGAAACATCTATAAAAAGCCCTCCCTAAAGGCCCTCAGACCCAGACGCTATGTTTTCACTGTATTCTGAGTATTTCAGTTAATACAGTTTTTTTTTTTTTAAAGCCAGGTTTGTTTCAGTGAAATGAATGCTGTGCGCATATACTTGAGCTTTATATATCTGTTGTTTTCAACTGATGAGGACGTTTTCTCTGCTAAAATCAGACTTTCCTTCCTGTGACTCAAGAAATTTCCTATAACAACAGATCTCTACCTTGATGGGAATATTTTTTTGTGTCTTTCAGAAATCTCATTAGGAAATGCTTCTTGAAACGAAGGTTACCGGTAAGAATGTAAGCTTTTCTTTTTGAAGGGTTTCTTAGAGCCCACAACACAGTTTATGGTGAAAAGCAGACAGACAGCAGAGACCACAGCACAGACTAGTCAGTACCTTTCAGACATACATTTGAGATCAAACCATTTTATTTCTGAATTGTTTGGATAGCTTTAACCCAGGTCTCCACATTCCAGGTAAATCCTACAACTTTTGGGCTAGGAGATCAGTTTCTCTGTGATCTATAGGATGCTTGTTTATAGAGGCACTTAAAAGAATGATTCATCTGACCTATTCTGTATGTTTACCTTAGGGTGAAATGAATTACTCACTAGCCTCCATTGACTTTTGACTAGATTTCTATTGATTATGAGGGAAGCCTAGGGTGAATATATCTATAGCCTGTAACAGAAGATTAAAGCTATCCTTAGAGTTCCTCACCAAAGTATGAATTTTATTGTATAACCTTCACTTTATTCATGACAGCCTGTGTGAAGGTATGTAGCTAGCCTGGCAGGGAAAAGGCAGACGTTATTTTGATTTTGGAAGAGACTGGAGGATGGAGGCTGCTGAAAAGGCATCTGACTTCATCCTTCAGTAGATATGTATTAATGATATTGCAATTGTTTGCCCTGTTTCTTGTCTGTCAGTATGGCCAATTGTTTTATTTTTTTATTTTTTATTCAGATTAGATGATAAGACAATTTGAAGTCAACAGACCTGCCCTTGCTTTTTTCTTTCCTAAAGTTAAATTCACCAAGAACTGAAGAGATATACAGTTAAATGCAATCTTATTCTGAATTCTAAGTGCTTTTGCAAATGGGAATTTGTTTTTGTGACCGAAGTGGTTGCCTGAAGCCCAAGGCTAATCATCATCTGAAATGAAAGAGTAGTTAGTTCCTTTCCTATTGAGATGGTAATTCATTAACACTATTAACAGACCTTGCTGCCTACTTATGTTACTTTATTAAAATGATAAGCTCTTTTAAACGCTTTCCGTAACATGTGAATGTGTGACACAATCTGATTTTAAAGGCATTCAAGTGAAAGAAAATTCCTGTTTACTAGATTGTATCAGATGAACAACTGACTGTAATAAATTGGTTTATTGTGTATTGGATGAATTTAAACATGTATACTATCATGAAATAAGTTCGAACCCAAATGGAGGAGAAAATAATGTTAAGAGGTAAATGAGGATTAGAAACTGCAATATCAGAGAAAGAAGGAATGTGCACTTTGTGTCACTTTCTTTACATTTGATACAGATTTTGATTGTTTTCTGACACTTATGCAGGTTCTAGCCACCTCACATTGTTTACAACAATAACAGAGAACTTAAATGCTAAATGTAATTCATTTAATCATCAACTGTACTAATACCAAAGCCTTACAACCCTGAATCACAAACCCACTGGGATGTGTCAATCCGTCTTTGCCAAAAATGCTCACAGAAAAGATGGACTTTGCAAAGTGCCTGGAATATTAATGCATGTTATCTGAAGCTAGAGCAATTGGAAACAAACATCATCCTCAGCAGACAAATCTGTCCAGCCTTAGAGGTCCATTCACACCAAATGAGAATTTGACATCATGAACATTGTGATCTAACATCTCATTCGCTGCATAAAAAATGAATGTCCTGCCATCTTGATGCTAGGGGCTACCTGCTAATTTTTCCCTGATATAGCACCAATCCTTCAAATACTTAGAGGGGGGCCAAAATCATCTCCTTTAGTCTAAAGACTTGTCTGGCAGTTGCCATAACCAGTGGTGTTCTGGTATGAAACTAATCTAGGGAAGTCAAATAGAAAGAATGGGATTAGCTGGTTATATGTTCTACACTACTAAAATGTGCTTCAGGGCAGTTTGATGTAGAAGGAAAAGAGAGGAAAAACTCCTACTGCTTAGCTTTCTAGGGTACAAAAGAATGGGAAATTGAAAGGTACTTAAGAGATTTCTACCCCTTCCTCATAAGATGTAAAAATCAATAAATATCAGCATGATTCAGGATTCTATTTTATCAAGGCATTCTTCACTTTTGTATTGCTTCTGTGAACAAAAGTGTTCATTACTGCCACAATGACATTGGTACTTTAGATGTGGCAGGGCTGCATGATAAGCTTGACCAGAGTTTGCGCAATGTGGAGGAAACTTCAACCCTCATTACACACTGAATTTCATATTACAGAGTTGTTTCTTGATGGTTTCTATCTTCCTTCTTACAGTCAGCATAGAGAAGGTTGTTTTTAGGGGTGGTAGTTTGTACGGGAGATCCATCCTAACCTTAGAAGCATTCTTAATAATATACTTAAACAGCATTCTTAATAATAATATGTAGTTTCCTGGTGGTGCTCTTGCAGGCCGTTCTTTTTTCCTTGATTGTTCATTTTTACTTTAGAATGACAGCCCTGTCTGAGATGTAAATTAGATGCAAAGGAAGTACAGCATAATTTCTAAATTCCTGACTGGCAAGAAGAGTGATAATGCAGTGGGTAAGAAGTTTTTGAAGGCTGTGACATTGAGAGTCTTCTGGGGCCTCTGTCAGGGCTTCACAGCGTTAGCTGACAAGAATGCAAATCTGATTGTCTTAGCCTTTGCTCCTGAGTCTGGACAGGAGGAGGTCTGGATGGTACAGGAGAATAAAAACAATTGGGTTCTCTGTGCGTAAGCCATGATAGGATTAAATAATCTTTGATCTTCCTGCCCTGTGTAGGCACAGGGATATTGCATTCATCCTTGTCCTATCTGAGTATACCAAGAGAACATAGACTCAGATCATGGATGACAGAATTATCTGATGAGAGCACGTGTACTATTAAAATGCATGTTGTAGTTAGAACAAGTCTGCCCGCACTGAAGTTATGCAAGTGCAAAATGAAAGCTAATGATATAAACACTTGCCTTTATTATTACATCATTCATTCATGGCCTCAGCCTCAGTGTAGCAGGGTCAAGAATAACAGCTGGGATACAGAAGCAGGGAATGGTAACAAAGACATGATGAAAGTTTTTTTTTTTTTTAATGCCTTCATCTTTCCGCAGTGAGCCTAAAAGGCTGGGTCTTATGTTATTTTTTAGGCAAGTGAAAAGACATTTTGTCAGTGGGGAATGGAACTGTAGGAAATGGAATTTCCCACTTACAAAATTGCAAAGTTTTTCGATCTGGAAAATCTCTGTTCATTTTTACCTGCAAGACATGTTTTGGACATTTCTGTCAATGGTCACAATATTCTGTGAAACATGTTGTGGTAATAAGATCCTTCTGCCTCAAGGGACTCAGTTCACGGTAATACTCACACCAGCATAATTCCCCTGAAGACACTTTATGGGGTCCTTCTGCTTTTTAGATCATATACAAGGCCAGAAAGGCAAGCTGAGAAAGTGCTGCTTATCTTCCTTTCTCATTCAAATGAATGGTGTCTCTAATGTAAGCAGCCAAGGCAATGCCAAAGTTGTTACAATTAATCAGTCATTCAATCAGTGCTGAAGGAGAGAACGCAGTTCAGAGGAAAAAGAGGAAGACAGGGTGGGAGGATGCCTTGAGTGAGGACACAAGTTCGCCGAGTGAACATATTTTAGTGGAAATGAGTGACACTGCAAGAGAAGCAGCATCTGAAATTTCCCTAATCAACAGTTTACTGCAAAGGGATGCTTCAACCAACTATTAGTTGTTATGTAACATTTTCAGCTTTCTAGCTTTGTTTTTTATTATCATTAATCATTTGTATTATTAAGTGGCCTGAATCAGGGTATAATTACGGTTCACCCAAACATACACACAAAAGAAATGTTGTGTGTTGTGGAAAGAGCATACAATTAAAATGAAAGCTATGAGACAGCAGATGAGAGGCCTAAAAGGAAAAGAAACTATATTAGTCAGCCTGCTACGTCGGTGATTGTAGTTCACCTGCAGCCTAACCATCAAGCAACAGAATATAGTCCTCTGAGCAGGTAAAGTGTTTAGGAAGGGATTAGACAGAAAATAATGAGGTGGTTTGGTTTATGTGATGTTCCAGAGGAATCTCTCCACCAGAGAAAGCGAAAGCGAAAGCCCAAAGGTTGTTCATTTCAAATTCGATGAGAAGTTGTAGGAAAATGGCAGCACTCATTGAAGGTGGAAGAGACCTCCCAAGACTCGATGTAAGATGGTGAATGCAGATGTACAGTGACACTCAATCACTCATTGAAGGTGGAAGAGACCTTCCAAAACTCAGTGCAAGATGCTGAAGGCAGATGTACAGTGACACAGTCAATGTGACAAGTTGAGAATGCAGCAGCATCTTCAACGCACGGTGTTTTTGGTAGGGTTACAGTACATGAGACCCTGGAAAATGAGAACTTGGACAAAGAGTTTGACTGGTGAGCAGGAAAGATGGATTCTGCTTACGTTATTTAGAAATCTGCAAGACTGTCAAGTAACATGAAGCAGCTGTATATTTCACTTACGATTTTCTAGGTTGAATGAATTCCTGTTGAAGTCAGTGGAATGACCTAATTTTGACCATTATCTCACTGCAACAGAACATCGTAACCACAACAATAATCTAAAACTAATCAGCCAGCTCTCCCTGCTCTTGCTGCTAAACAGTTCGTTACTTTTGCCTGTGCTCTGATCTTTGTGATTTGGTCTCCACGCTACTTCAGCAATCTCATTTGCAGTGGAGTACAACATACTGCAATTAAATTTTTTTCAAATACAGTGTAGAACTCACCAATTAAGAATATCTACAAACATGGCAAGCAGCAGATGTTCTCTCTTTCCTACCTAGAAATTTCATCTCAGGCTTTTCCCCATTTTTGGAATTTTTTTTCAGGTTTTCTAATTGTCCCCAGCTCACACACTGCTGTTTTCTTAAGACAGTCAACAATCAGAAACCTTAGACAAATCCTTCCAACGTCCTAGTGCCGCAGACAACTGCGACAACACCACAGCCCTATCTCTGCCTGAAGCAGACACCTAAAGTAGCTGCACTTCAGCAGTGACTGCTCCTGGGACATGGGAAACTGT